ATTTAAACCTCTTAGGCCTCATCTAAGTTAGATAACTGAACTGTTAGGAATAATGGCTTTCAGCATCAGCCTTCCTGAACCAGTATTAAACTGCTGAAGCGTTACCAGAGGCAAGACAAAAGCATTTCAATACTGTTTCAGGAAGTAAGCTTTATAATTGTCCAGAATGGTGTTTAAAATTTTTTTAATACTGTTTTGGAACTTTTGCTAATGACTCACCTCTACAAAAAGAAAAGAAGTACTTGTGGCACCTTAGAGACTAACCAATTTATTTGAGCATGAGCTTTCGTGAGCTACAGCTCACTTCATCGGATGCATAACCATGGTGGAAACACTTGTCAAACAGGATTAGGACTACAAAGCAGGGCAGACACTAAAAGGTGAGGCCCCGTTTTCCTTCGAATAACTGTAGTAATAAATAGTTTCTGAGAAGATTTTTCAAAGCTCTCACTGCAGCAACAACTGTTTTCACTACTTGCAATGCTGGGGGCAGGGAGAAGGAGAAGAGACACTTCTCTGAAGCCAGGGCTGTTTCTTCCCCTTACATTACTCTGGAAGGAATTATTGCACTATACCTGGTTTCAGAGTAACAGCCTTGTTAGTCTGTATTTGCAAAAAGAAAAGGAGGACTTATGGCACCTTAGAGACTAACCAATTTGAGCATAAGCTTTCGTGAGCTACAGCTCACTTCATCGGATGCATCAGATGCATTTGAGCTCATGCTCAAATAAATTGGTTAGTCTCTAAGGTGCCACAAGTCCTTCTTTTCTTTTTTCACTATACCTGTTCCTCTTTTGGATCAGGCCCTGGGATTTTGGAATACCAGGTCCCCAGGCCACAGCAGCATAAAGAACCTTTTACTGGAACGCGACCCTTATTCACTCATGCGGTAATACTTTCTCTCTTAACACCTGAACCACACACAACCTCTTCATAGTCAACTAGCATTTTTTAGGAGCACGTGCAACTCTAACACAGCTCATCTCTTCAGTTCTCTCTTCTGTCTTCTCATTTCAAATATTTTTGCATTGTTTCCCCACATCTTTTTGCTCTCACTCCCAACTTCACTAGTCTTTAGAAAACTTAATATTGCTGGCATAATTTTGTTAACTGCAACTTTACTGGGGAGAGGAGACCTACACTGCCATGTTCATATAAAAAGGAGCTTGAGGAAATTGACAATTTATTTCAGACTACACTTATATCACTATTTGATCATTAGAACTTGCCTACACACAAACTTGCACTGAGGTGACTAATGGTCATTTTAAAACAGATTTAGACTGATGCAAGTGCCTGTATGGACAGTCTTAAGTCAGTTTAAAAGCTGCTTATAGTAATTTCCTTTCAGATTTAAGCTAAATACAAGCCATTTTTAAAACCCATTTAAGAAGATCCATGCAGGGGCTTGCCCAAATTTAAACTTGTTTAAAAAACTTTAGTTACATCATGATAACAGCCTTTCAACACAAGGCATTTTTCAATCCCTCCTGTGAAAGTCATTAATATTCTAATCTTCCTACAGCCTTTATCCCACAAGAACAGAGTCACGCAAAATTCACACTGAAAATTAAATATTTTCTACAACATTTAGAGGAAAATGACTAACCAAAGGCAACTGAAGTTGCTATCTTGTAGATGCTGGAAAAAAACTTTTTTTTTAATCCACACATTGTTTTACTTTAAAGTAGTAAATATAATTAAAAACACAATTGCAATAAAATATCACCCTGTAGTCCCTTTAGAAATTGCTATACAAACTCATTTCCTGCTAGTAGTTTACAAAGCAAAGCGTATGTAACATCAGTACTAGAATACTACTTTCCTTCTTCAAAAACCACAAAAGCATTTAATAAAAAAACCTAGAAAAACAGCAACAATACCTAGAAAGCATCAAAAATTATAAATCAAAATTTAGTTCACCTGGCTTATTAGCAAACAGGTTTCATTTTTAACTCTGAATTTTTTTAAAAAGTCACCTCTCTCTGCATCACTAATTTTACATTAGTGATTTTAGAGCCAAATTTATACTTCTAACCAGCTGAAACTTAGTATTCTCTAATGTAGAGCAACTAAAATGCTGAGACTTTGCTATGATAAAGATAGCTTTATACTGCAATTACATCTAATTTTGAGTCTCACATCTGAGCCTCAGGTGTTTGAGCTCTGAGAACTGGATATGTGCACCAATAATCAGTGTTTCTCACTGAAGTTGATTAGTGTAATAAACACCAAAACACCACTTTTAAACTGGAAATTATAATGGCAAAATGTTTTCAGTTTTCATTAGACTTGACACTTCCTTCCTATACTTAGATTTTTATTCACATTGCAACCATCCAGGGAGTGTACAAAAAGGCACTGACCTATTTCATAACAGGACAACGTTTGAAACAATATTAATTTCTGCTGGCTTCAAATAGCACCAAGGGAACCCCGAGTGCCTGATGGTGAGAGAAACATGAAAGGCAAACTTTGCCGGCAGAATATAAACCATCAAGTCCAGGAGGCTGCTGGAAACTTTCAAGGTAAACACAAACTTCGTTGGGAGTTACTGTATATCTTCTTATATCAAACAAGGAGGCTCCTACAGCTACTTCGCTCTCCTGCAAGTGAGAGCTGCTTGTTACACTAGAATTAGCCCTCCCTCTGCCCAAGCAGTCATTTGTTCAAGAATCTATAAGACAACCTGCTTGTCCCAGATCAGCCCCCTCTCCAAACGCTCACACTTATAGTGTTTTCAAAAGAAAGAGAAAACAGCGTCAAACTACTCACTATCCAGCCCCCCTCGCCCCTCCGTCCTTTGCCAGGGCTTCCCCATAGCCCCGACGGCCACCACAATTCCTACCTCCCACAGGACAACCCAGGCCAGAGATCCCATTCCTGCCCCTACCATCCCCCGGCCAAGAGCCTCCACTGCAATACTGCTCCCCTCCCCCGAACCCCCGTCTCCCTGGCTGCGCCCTCAGCCTAAAAGCCCAGGGTGTCCCCCCTCTCGTACAGCCCCCCCCTTACACTCTGGCCCCGGCCTACTCCCCCGAGCCCCGCCCCCCCCGGCCTACTCCCCCGTACGGCCCCGAGCCCTGCCTCCCCCCCCCCCCGCCTACTCCCCCGTACGGCCCCGAGCCCTGCCTCCCCCCCCCGGCCTACTCCCCCGTACGGCCCCGAGCCCTGCCTCCCCCCCCCGGCCTACTCCCCCGTACGGCCCCGAGCCCTGCCTCCCCCCCCCGGCCTACTCCCCCGTACGGCCCCGAGCCCTGCCTCCCCCCCCGGCCACTCCCCGCCCTCCCCCCCCGCCACTCCCCCGAGCCCTGCCCCCCCCCCCCTACTCCCCCGTACGGCCCCGAGCCCTGCCTCCCCCCCCGCCTACTCCCCCGTACGGCCCCGAGCCCTGCCTCCCCCCCCGCCACTCCCCCGGCCCTGCCTCCCCCCCGGCCTCTCCCCCGGCCCTGCCACCCCCCCCCCGGCCTACTCCCCCTACGGCCCCGAGCCCTGCCTCCCCCCCGGCCTACTCCCCCGTACGGCCCCGAGCCCTGCCTCCCTCCCCCCCGGCCTACTCCCCCGTACGGCCCCGAGCCCTGCCTCCCTCCCCCCGGCCTACTCCCCCCGTACGGCCCCGAGCCTTGCCTCCCTCCCCCCGGCCTACTCTCCCGTACGGCCCCGAGCCCTGCCTCCCTCCCCCCGGCCTACTCTCCCGTACGGCCCCGAGCCCTGCCTCCCCCCCCCCGGCCTACTCCCCCGTACGGCCCCGAGCCCTGCCTCTCTCCCCCCCCGGCCTACTGCCCCGTACGGCCCCGAGCCCTGCCTCCCCCCCCCGGCCTACTCCCCCGTACGGCCCCGAGCCCTGCCTCCCCCCCCCCCCGGCCTACTCCCCCGTACGGCCCCGAGCCCTGCCTCCCTCCCCCCCGGCCTACTCCCCCGTACGGCCCCGAGCCCTGCCTCTCTCCCCCCCCGGCCTACTCCCCCGTACGGCCCCGAGCCCTGCCTCCCTCCCCCCGGCCTACTCCCCCGTACGGCCCCGAGCCCTGCCTCCCCCCCCCCCGGCCTACTCCCCCGTACGGCCCCGAGCCCTGCCTCCCCCCCCCCCCGCCTACTCCCCCGTACGGCCCCGAGCCCTGCCTCCCCCCCCCCCGGCCTACTCCCCCGTACGGCCCCGAGCCCTGCCTCCCCCCCCGCCTACTCCCCCGTACGGCCCCGAGCCCTGCCTCCCCCCCCGGCCTACTCCCCCGTACGGCCCCGAGCCCTGCCTCCCCCCCCCCCCTACTCCCCCGTACGGCCCCGAGCCCTGCCTCCCCCCCCCCCCCGGCCTACTCCCCCGTACGGCCCCGAGCCCTGCCTCCCCCCCCCCGGCCTACTCCCCCGTACGGCCCCGAGCCCTGCCTCCCCCCCCCGCCTACTCCCCCGTACGGCCCCGAGCCCTGCCTCCCCCCCCCCCCGGCCTACTCCCCCGTACGGCCCCGAGCCCTGCCTCCCCCCTCCCGGCCTACTCCCCCGTACGGCCCCGAGCCCTGCCTCCCCCCCTCCCGGCCTACTCCCCCGTACGGCCCCGAGCCCTGCCTCCCTCCCCCCCCCCGGCCTACTCCCCCGTACGGCCCCGAGCCCTGCCCCCTCACACTCCCCCGTACGGCCCCGAGCCCTGCCCCCCTCACACTCCGGCCCCGAGCCCCCCGGCCTACTCCCCCGCACGGCCCCGAGCCCTGCCCCATCAGCGCTGAGGCAGCAGGGCCCCGAGCCCGCAGCACAGGCCGGGCTCGCTGGGAGCCTCCCGGGACCGGACCGGCGGTTCCCGGGTCGGTGTCGGGGCTGGCTACCACCCGCAGCCCTGGCTGGGCCCTCACGGAGAGGCCCGTCCCCCGCGGGGCCCCGCACTCACCGGCCAAGCCCCCTCGCTGCCTCCCGCGGCCCCACAACCATAACAAAGCTCTGCCCAAAATGGCTGCCCGGCCCTGCCCGGCCGGGGGCCGGAGGGGGCGGGGCTGGCGCGCGGGGGACACACCCACCTGGCGCGCTCTGGCCGCGCGCCTCTCTCGGCCCGGCGCGGGGGTCCCACGCGGGACGCTCCCGGGGGTGAGGGTGGGCGTTACGGCGCGAGGCCGGCGCGTGCTCTCCGGACGGGCGCGCGCGCGCATTCGCACGCTCGCGCGAATACGGCTCCCTCCAGTGTCTCCCTCGGCCACTCCGTGCGCGCGCCCGCCCGTGCTGCCTCGACACCTCCCCCCGGCCCGAACTTCTCCAGGCGGCTCGCGCGCCCGCTCTGTTTGTGTCTGTCACGCTGGGGGACGGGCCGAGCAGATTGCTCCCCGCGCCCGAGACTCCAAGTTCCAGGATGCACTGCGCCACCTGCCTCACCCTTTGTGAGGGGGGCCGCCGCCGCCGTGCATGCTGGGATGTGTAGTCCCCGCCTTGCTGCGGCCGCCACCTTCCCCTTAAAGTGGAAGGCACAGCCTCTGTGCAAGGAAGCAAAGCACTTTGTAATCCTAGAAAGCCAGCATCTGCCCCTCCTCTCCGCCACAGCAGCGGGGAGGCAGAGTAGGCCGGCAGGCTGAGGCTTCGAGTACAAACCAATCCTTCCTGCTCAACAGAGATTTCCTGAATGAGCCAGCCGCACTGTCACACGTAGCAGAAATAATTGGGGAAGGCACCGCAATGGCTTTACATTCAACAAGGGAAGCTTCGCAGTCAACCCAGAAGCAGAGAAATTATGCCCCAGAGACACTTCCAGCAAAATGCAGCTGCAGGGCAAGAGGGAGGATTCCTCAGCTGCTGGAATAATGCTGAGTGCTATTTACCTCTCACCCGTTCTGCAAACTTTAGCTAATCTTCCCAGAAACCAGGGGAGAGGGATCAGGCCCAGCAAGGACTAGACATTCAGCATAACTGTTGCAGAAAAAGAGACAGAAAAGTGACCTCACAATTGGTGGTAGCTCCCCTTGCCAGCCTTGAAAGAGGCATAAATACAAGACACACAAATAAATTAACTTGAAGAAGAGTTTGGTGTGGCTGGAAAGTTTGTCTCTCTTTCACCAGCAGAAGTTGGTCCAATAAAAGATACCACCCCACCGACTTTATCTTTCAAATAAGTTAACTAGTTAGTCAATTTTCAGAGTAGCAGCCGTGTTAGTCTGTATTCGCAAAAAGAAAAGGAGTACTTGTGGCACCTTAGAGACTAACCCATTTATTTGAGCATGAGCTTTCGTGAGCTACAGCTCACTTCATCCGATGAAGTCCTCCTTTTAGTTAGTCAATGTCCTTTTACAAGTACTCCTTTTAGTTAGTCAATGTCTGGGTAGCACTTTGAAGATGTAAAGCATGTGTGCTAATTGTTACTGTGGCTACACCGCAAAGCTGGTGCTTGCGAACTAAATGCTCAATGCATTCTGATTACTCAGAACCGCTTGCAGTTTTCAGTTAAATAAATGAGAGTAGAGAACTGGGGTGTCAGCTTGGGCAGCACCCTCCACACCAGTCCAGGCTCTGATCCTGCACCCATGCAAATGCTTTATCCAGGCTCTTGGGGTTTTGTTTTTGTTTGTTTGTTGGGGGGGGGGCGGTTTCTGACTCATACTTTTTGACTGTTTGGCAGTACTGGTGGCCTGCATGCAATCACTGGAAATACTTACATTCCCTAAGTGATGCTCAGCATAACCGGTCTGGAATCAGGCCTTTGCCATCAGTGAGATACATTGTTGTTGTTGTTTTGTTTTAACGTAAATTCTCCCCCCTTTAGAACTGATGCCTTTTAACCCTGTCGCTCCCACCCTCTTAACGGTGGACAAACTCGGGGCAAGGGGAGCTTTCTGTAACGCCAGAGAACTGAAACGACAAGCCCCCCCCCCCCAACCTTTGAACAGAAAGTCCGGGGAGCCGGCCCCGCAAAGCGGAACGAGAGCGCCTGGCCCACGGCCGGGGCCGGGGCTCTCCGCCCGGCGCACACGGGAAGCCCCGCTCCTTCGGCCGGATGCTGCCGCCCTTCCCGTCCCTGCTCGGGAAGCTGGTTGTGCTGGGGCTGGCCGTGCTCCTTGCCGTTCCCTTGGGCGGGTGAGTGCGTGATCCCTGGGAGGCGGTGGCGGGCGGCTGGGCTCCCCGGGGGAAGGCGCCCCGGGAGGAGGGGTTGGTTTCCTGGAACTCTCTGCAGGGAGAGGAGGCACGAGTGGGGGGCGCTTGCACGGCAGCTGGTGCCGGGGAACTGATCCAGGCTGCGGCCTCTGGCGGCCCTCAGACCACCAGTGCCTAGTCTTGTTAATTACAGCAGAGCAGGGGGCTTCCCGGGTTCAGTTCCCACCTCTGCCACAGGATCTCTCTCTGGGCAAATGACTTAGTCTCCCCCACAGGTCCCCATGATCCTTCCTTTTGGTTATTTAGATTGTAAACTCTTCATTTTACAGTGGGGTCCCCAGACTTGGTTGGGGCTTCCAGATGCTTCTGTAATACGCAGTGGACCCATTTAAAATGTGTATTTGTAATCACAGTAATCTTCTCTAGGTTTTCTTTTCTCTTCTAAAGAACAGTGGTAATGTTACCTAGAAACTTCCCACTTTTAGAGGAATTTTTTTTGGTAGGATTAGTGGATTCAATTTGGGGCTGGGAGATGGAATTTTAATTCCAACTCTACCATCAAGGTGACTTGGCAAACCATGTATACTGTGTCAGTTTCCCCATCTGTAAAATGGAGCTATTTACCTACTTCATAGGCACTTTGAGATATAGTTAAGCCCTGATCTGGCAATAAAATGCATTACAAGTTAATGACCTTAGCTTGTAAAGTGACTTGAAAACAAAATGCCCTGTAAAAGTTCAATATAATTATTTGGTTATAGGAGTACAGTAGATAAACATGTTATTAGCTGTACAATGACAAAATCCAAGATGCATGGTCCTGATCTGCTTCCTTTTACTTATAAAACAAAATGGGCAATAGGGAAAACAAATTGTTGTCATAACTTATACTAAGACATATTCTATACTTGGATATTCTACCTAGTATAGACTGTCACTAAGTTGATTCTCTTAACATTTTTTCTTCATCCCTTAGGGCCTTCTGCTAAGGCAAATATGTTTCACCTTGTACAGCGATGTTGTTCCCACATACCTTTAAAAGTAAGTTTCTAATGTGTTATCTACTTTATCCTGAAATAGCTTTCAAAACAAAACAAAACAAAACAGGAGGCAAAGCATCTTCGGTATAAAACACAGTTGGCTCACAGTTTACAACAGACTGAGGTTTCATTTTATCATATTTATTTTTTTCCAAAGGAACTTTTCTAATGTTTAAAGTGTATAGAATTGTAAACCCATTTTTTCCCTGATTCTTGCCTGGCATCATCGAACCGCAACTTAGCCACATAGCTTGACAGTAAGCCTGCTGCTGTGCAGGCTTACTGATATGTTCTGTTGCTGGTATTTGACAGCTGTTAAAATTCATAGAATCATAGAATCATAGAATATCAGGGTTGGAAGGGACCCCAGAAGGTCATCTAGTCCAACCCCCTGCTCAAAGCAGGACCAATTCCCAGTTAAATCATCCCAGCCAGGGCTTTGTCAAGCCTGACCTTAAAAACCTCTAAGGAAGGAGATTCTACCACCTCCCTAGGTAACACATTCCAGTGTTTCACCACCCTCTTAGTGAAAAAGTTTTTCCTAATATCCAATCTAAACCTCCCCCACTGCAACTTGAGACCATTACTCCTCGTTCTGTCATCTGCTACCATTGAGAACAGTCTAGAGCCATCCTCTTTGGAACCCCCTTTCAGGTAGTTGAAAGCAGCTATCAAATCCCCCCTCATTCTTCTCTTCTGCAGGCTAAATTAATTAATAATTAATAAATAATTATTAATAATTAATAATTAAAGAGCCAAATCCTCCCTTCAGTTCTGTCTCTATAACCATGCTGAAATCAGTGGGGTTTCATGGGTGTAACTATGGACAGAACTTAAGTGTACAGTCTGGATCATATATGCACCACAAAATTCCTCTTTACTGAAACAGTTATAACATTAGGCATGCATCCAATGAAGTGAGCTGTAGCTCACGAAAGCTTATACTCAAATAAATTTGTTAGTCTCTAAGGTGCCACAAGTACTCCTTTTCTTTTTGCGGATACAGACTAACACAGCTGCTACTCTGAAACCTAACATCATGGTGATGATACAGTCTCCACACTCTCAGGTCACCATCTGCAAAGTATTTTTTTAAAAGTTCTGTAGCTGCTCTCTTTTGATTGAATATGAAGAAGGCAAAAAGGCATTGTGCTTTTTCCTCAGCAACTTCAGGAATGTCAATTTTTGCAAGAGGGCCTCAGGGCAATCACAGGGATGCTTATTGTGAGCTCTAGCACCTTAATTGTTAATCTTTAACACAGACTTTCTTTATCCAAAATCTTAGTCTATTAAACTTGAGGTGTTTCAAAACAAGTTTTTAAAGTGACTAACAATCCTTTTCCCTTTCACTTACTCTCTGTTCTGTTGGCTGTAATGATATCATTGCACTAGTTCCCTACTCATCATAGAAGCTTCTACTCTAAGGAGGGCTTGAATTTCTAGTGTGAAAACACAAGCAAGGAAAGTAGTTGGAGGAAACTTTTCAGGCCTTCTTTATTCACCCTAAAGCAGCAAAAAGAACACAAGCGCAGATAGTCTCTTCACAGATCACTGCCATGTCAGAAACAGGGGAGGAAGGCAGTGATTTCTGTAACTTCTGTGTAATGCTTTCTACTGTTTGTGTTGGAATGCAGTGAAACAGCCAACTTCTTATAAAACCAGCAGTGCTCTTTACGTGAAGGGGAAAAAAAAATCTTTATAAACCTTCTAATAACATACAAGACAGTAGATTTCCACAGCTAGGCTTAGTTTTATGCAGGGTATAACTAATCAACTCTCCAGGCTAACAAGTGCTTGTCAGATACTCCTAATACGTTTTGTAATTGCAGCTCCAGAAGTTGACCCTTCACAGACAGCTACAGTATGGAAGGAATAAGACAATTTGTTCTTCTCCTCTCAGTATCCCTCTGCAGAGAGTTCTTTCCCGTCCGTTGAGATCTCAGCTCCTCACCAAGGCCTCAGCCTGTGTAACCAAGGCCCAGGGATTCCATTGCTCCCTCCGCTGCTTAAAGAAAAAGAAACCAGAAGAACCTGAACCCCAACTGGGGCTTCTGCGCCATGATATGAGGTCACTAAAGGACTCACCAAAGCCTGCCTTTTACCTGGGCCTTGCAGGGTTGATTCCATTTGTTTCAGTGCCACTGATAATGGCTATCCAACAGACCTACTACGCTGAGCTGGCATTTGCTCAAATTACATATGGGGCCACTATAGTCTCTTTTCTAGGAGGAGTCAGGTGGGGATTTGCTCTCCCAGAAAATAGCCCAGGCAATCCTGATTGGATGAACTTGGGGAACAGTATAGTTCCCCCTTTATTAGCCTGGTTTGCCATACTTTTTAAAGATGACCTCACTCAAGCTGCAATCATGGTGATAATTGGTTTAGGGGTAGCATTACATTATGACCTTGCTGTTCTTCCTACTTATCCCAGCTGGTTTAAAGCCCTCAGGGTATTACTAACCATGGTGGCAGTATTTTCATTGGTAGCCACCTTGGGACTTATGGATGTTTATCCAGAGAAGCAGCTAAGGAACAGTGCAAGTAAAAGTAAATGAAAGTGAATCATCATAAACCAACAGACAAGAGATTTTTTTTTTTTTTCTGTCAAGCCACTGCAGAGTTTTGTATGAAGTTCTAATGGGAGTAAAAGAAACTGCTTAGCTTCTCCATGCTTGCAGAACTAGAGCCATGAGTGGAAATCAGAAAACAGCAGCTTGCAAGACGCTTACTTTGGGAGCAACCAGTTTCCAAGCAAGTTGAGCAGAGGATTTATATATACACATTATTCACTTTCTTTAGATTGTTTTCAAGACAGGTATGCATCTTCCCTTATTTGTACAGCAAGAGCCCAATCCCGACAGATCTTTGGGTACTACCGTAATATATTTTTAAATGTTTGGGGGTAGATTAAACTCCTTGTGTACTATGAAGAATAATTATTAAAACAAGGATAGGTCAAGAGGCTTAATTATAAGGTGTGCCAAGTTCTGCAATGGAAGGAATAAGGTCATAGCTTTTGTAAATGTTAAGAAGCCTTTTAGCTGAAAACCATGGGATGAAAGCACTTCCTGTTCCCACTGAAAATGGAACAATTACTGCATTATACTTAAGTTTGTAGACAATTGGAAGATTCATGATGTACAAGGTTATTATATGTACAGCTGCTTTTTTTTTTTCTTTTTTGGTAATGCTGTTTGTAAATACCACACCTACACCACCCCAGGACAAGATTCTTCCCTGACCCAAATTCTACTGACGAGAAAATATACACTAAACATGGTAAATGATTTAAGAGTTGGTCACTAAACAACACATATAGGTAAGGTTGGTTTGTCATGTCAAGCTCGAGATCAGTGTTTAGCAGGGGTCTCAAACACACAGCCCCTGGGGTTATTTTCTGTGGCCTACCAGCTCCCTGCAGCACCCCACCCCCTCCGCATTTACCTACAGCAGCTCCAGCCCGCGCTACTCCAGGAAGCGGCCAGGACCTGGGAGGGCGGAACCCTGGTCTGTGTGTTGCCCTGGCCAGCCCTCCAGGTACCTCCCCTGAAGCTCCCATTGGCTGCAGTTCCCCATTCCTGGCCAATGGGAGCTGTGGGGGGGCGGTGCCTGGAGGCATGGCCAGGGCAACACACAGACCCCTGTGCCTCCCACCACAGCCCCTGGCCACTTCCCCGAACAGTGTGGGGGTAGGGCAGGCAGGCAAGGAGCCTGCCCTGCCCTGCCCCGCCCCGCCCCAGGTGCGCACCAGGCCAGACCCACCCCCTGAATGCCTCCTGCAGCTGAACCCCCTGCACTGAGCCCCCTCCTGCACCCTGCCCTGAGCCCCCTGATGCACCCCAGCCCCCTGCCTTGAGCCTCCTTCCACACCCTGCACCTCTCCTGCACGCCCTGGGGGTTGGAATGGGGGCAGGGAAGAGGTGGGGCCTCATGGAAGGGGTGGAGTGGGGGCGGTCAGTTGTGCAGCCCCTGGGCCAATGTACTAGTCCTCATGGTCATTTGAGTTTGAGACCCCTGATCTAAAGTGTGTTGGAGACACTAAGAGCACCCCAAGTCCAAACAGCACCCTGTCATGATATTTACGCAAAAGATGGCATGTAATATATCTTTAGAAAACTAATAACTCACTGATCATTAATATTCTTGCATGATATATGTATGGTCAACCCCAAGAGAACTTTACAGCTATTTCCAGCATATGTGACTAAAATGTATTTAAACCTGGTATGGTGGAGCAGTTCATAAACAAATTTTCTCCAGCTAAAGAAAAGAGGCCAATGCCTTAAACCAGGTGTGGCCAAATTCAGTGAGCTATTTATTTGTATCAGAGGTTGCAGGAAGAGATCACTTGCATTATAAAAATCACCAGCAGGGGAGAAGACAGCATGGTGTCCCCATCTAGCAAGTAAAAGGAACTTGATCTGGGGAGGAATTTTGGTAGAATACATTTCAGAGGTTTACTAGACTACAAAGAGGGGGGGAGTGAACCCCTAAGTTATCCTTCACCCCAGGAAACAAAAGAATCCTGAGCATAGCCATGAGTATAAAATAAGGACTTCAGTTAGGATAAATCATGTCACTCTTCCATTAACTGTAAGGGTGCAGTAGAACATTATGAACTACTACTAGCCGCTGGCAGTAGGTGTGATGTTATGGGGGTTCACCTAGACCAGTAAGGGGTTCTGTCAGCGCCTTCCCTGTAACTATGGTTGCTTCCAGGCTGTGCATCACAGTGCCCTCACACCACAAAGCCCTCACGCTGGCATCTTGCAGGGTGACACTAAGCGCTCCTCCTGTTCTGAGACTCCCCAAAACCACCTCCCCTGCAGCAGCCAGTCCCGCTCACTGGATACTCACATATGTTAAATTTACTGCCTCCAAAGAGACAGAGCACACACAAGCCTGTTAATTTTGCTGAGGACTTCAGTTCAATACACAGCACTGAGATAATTAACTTACTCTCATTTTATTGCAAAACTAACAAAGAACAGAGATTTAACAGTTAAAGAACAGAAGAGAGATGGTTACAAGTAAAAATCAAAACATGCATTCTAGTGGCTAAAACTCAATTTCAACAAGTTACACTCTAAAGATTTCTCACTTATAGTCAGTTCCAGCTACTCTTTGTTTTCAGGCGCAGAGGATCCACTTTTCATGCACTGAAAAGGCACGGCTCCCCCTTTGTGATGGTTGCCAAAATGGCTTTCTGCTTTGGCTTATATTTCCCAAAATCTAATTTTCTTTGTTTCAAGAGCCAGGAAGGCTTCCTGAGCACGTAGGCTCCATCCCTTATTGTGATCATTAAGTGGTCTTCCCCCATTTAGGTTGATGGCTTGGTTTACCATATATGTAGATATACTTTTCTTTGTCCTTTCAGGTATTGCCTGGCTTAATTTGAGACAGGAAAACAGGTGAAACAACATTCCTTTGTCTAGGACAGACTGGGCTTGTGCACTGCTTGCAAAACACTGTTTAAGAATATATTTCCAGCACACATCTCTGATTCTTCATACACCACCCACACATACATCACGCAATAAAATTAATGAGTGTGTGTTACCGGTTTGCATAAACCACCTTACATAACACCTTTTAGATACAGATTATGACGACAACAGTGTGTAGGGGCCATGTGGGTCATGTTTGATGTGAGTTATGGAATGGTGTGCCTCCTGCCAGCTGGCACGGCTCACAGTAGGCAACCCAAGCAGAAATCTAGTTGTAGTTCCCTAGCAGGGGCTGAGCAACTACACAGTGGATGGGTTAAGTTTTTTTTGGGCCACTCAGTACATTTGTAAACTGTAGACACTTCACAATGGGCTAAGTATTAAATGTGCTAGAGAAGTATAGTGCAAGCTTCTCCACCATAATCTTCTAATGCCCCTCATTCCTGCTATAGCCAACTAAGGCAGAAAATTTTAAGTGGGTGATGGCTGTGTAATATAAACTTAATGGACTTTCAGTTGTAGCCTAAGCACATGTTCCATCAGTAGAAATCCAGCTAGCAGTAGGTATAAATGCTTGATAGTTAAAAGGTAAGCTACAAAGGTTTTACCAACTATTAGATCCCAACCAAGATGGGAGTTTAGGAATGATGTGCGGTAAGATTGCATTTTAAACAGAATTACCTCCCTACAACCTCTACTTGTAGCCACCAATTTCCTTGTTCCTGCAGAAAAGGAACGAGCCTTATCTACTACAGAGATGAAATGAGCATGGCTCCCTCTTCAAGATTCGTGAGCCACGTACACTGCCAGAAACATGACATCCTACAAAGTCTGCAGATCTTAAAGAATGCAGCCATCTCCCTTTACATAGCACTGATTCGCGTAACACTTGCTACGTCCCTTAACCGCTAGGATTTTCAAAGGAGGTTTTGTTAAACTTTTGCACCTTTAACATCAGACCCTGGAAATAGCGATGTGTTGTTTGGGTGTAGAGGAAGTAAAATGGAATTTTTAAAAGAAAAGCAAAGTTCACTCTTTCACTCCTTCTTATTCAACATGGCTGCGTGATAAACATAAACAAGAGATCCATGGCAGCACAGTCTGGTATGAAGCCAGTTGTAGAAGCTGTCCCACCTCTCATGGGCAAGACTAGGTATGTGGTGGTGGCAGATTGCAAACCCACAACCTTCAACCAACAGATGAAAGGCATGAGCACTGGTCAAAGGGACTATTTCATGGTACAACAGAAATGCATCCATGATTCCAGGGTGAGGGAGAGAAGGAGCTGACAGGAGAGATCACAATAAAGTAAGCCTGCAGGACCCAACTGAAATCTTATAGGGTCCAAATGTAGGAAGCATGAGAATCTTCAGATGCTTGATTGTAAAAAACATTTCCCTCTTCAGCTCTTTTCAGTCAGGAGGCTGCATGCAGGACAGGTTAGCTATCCAATTAGCCCCCATTTCCCAAAGACCCTTTAATCAAAGGATCTCACCAGGAGTAAGAAAATACAATAAATATTTTATTTCAGAAGCACATTTCTTTGTAGCTTAAAAACAGTCTGTCTACGTTGGCCTGGTTTAAAACTGTTTATCTCAATGTTTGTCAGAAGTTAAAACACAAAGTTTCAACAAGAAAAACAGAACTCATTTTTGTTACAGATAACAGCAATGCCACTCGCCATCATTACTAAAAAAAGCACTCAGTGTAAAAATCACACAGTTCCACCATTACTTAGGTATACACTCATGACCTGTAGCTAGTTATGAGAAGTATACAGCAATTTAAAAGCAAACTCACCTGGCTCAAAATTAAGAGTATGAGAAATAGGGGCTAGCTTCCCAGCCAGCTTCCCAGCCATTAGAAGTCCTTCCTGAAGCAAAAGCATATAGGAGTTTAATTAAAGGATCAGAGAAGCAAGCTCTCTGTTATATAGCAAAGGTCAGCAGGTGCAATTAACATTTTTGTCCTTGAATATGTAAATTCTCAGTTTTCAGAGTAGCTACTACACAAACTGGAGGCTTCCCCACCCAAACAACTTCGTACTGTGCAGGTAACATCCTTGATCTGGAAAGTGGGTGCCCCCTCTGTCTACACAATGAAGGCTTCCCATTGCATTACACTTCCCATGCTGGTTTGTGTTCTAGAAGATTCTCTGATTGTGCTGTGTTGGACAATCTCATTTGTGACTTGTATCTAAGTCCCAGGTGACTTATTCAATCCCAGCCAAGACAATGCAGTAATAGGGTGCAAACAGAAGCTTCAAGTACCAGGTGTGTTTTTTGTTTAAGACAGGAAGATTAAAAAACTGGAAATGGTGTCACGATTGCTAAAAAAATTAATATTTTCCCAATAAGTGCTCTCACGCTAAATATAGGACCTTTAAGACAATGGCAAAATGACCAAACAATAGTAGCATCACTTTGAAACAGAACACAGCCAATTTGTTACAATTTCTGTCTACTTCAACCTGGAAAAGGCAGGGTGCAAGCCAGAGGTGTCACCTTTTGAAGTGGGAAAGAACAGCAGCATCCTGCAGAAGGGTGTCTATTCCACTACCTGACAGTCCCTGTATGTGTGTACATGTGCACAGGGTAATCCCTTCCAGAAAAGGAAGAGTGAAGGCAGAAGGAAGAGTGGGCATTATAAGAAGAGGTGATGACATTCCCAACTGAAAAGCTCAGTAAAAATCCTATGACCAGCACACAGATTAAACATTTGAGTCATTGGTGTCACTTCTTGGAAAAGTAGGGAAGGGAAAGTCCACACTTGGGTGGATAGGAGCACCTGCCACCCACAGGGAAACAGGACACTAGCATGATAATAGCATGAACAACAGAATTATGTTGAGCTTTACAGGAAGAGAAGCAGTGGAGTCAGCCACTTATCACCAGATCCTTTATCCAGAAAACCTATTGGGGGACAAAGGACAATTCACCTCCAGTTGATTTCCAGGGTGCTTGTCCAGAAGCTGAAGAGAACCTCAAGTGGGATGAGGCTGTAACTGGAACTATAAATTTTTTTTTAAAACCAGCCTCACCTGGCACATTCGCTGCCAGCAAAACACAACTCCTACTGCTAAGGAAAACAGCCAAGCTGCTCTTTACACACCTAGGGCTTTATCTGAAGTAAAGGAATCACCCTCTAGGTTTTCAGTCCTGCTAATGATACTAGCTTTGTTCCATCATGGGAACACGGAGGAGTTTCAAGTCCTCCCAGCACACAGGAAAAATAATCTCTCAGATGAGGTCCAATTTGCCAAATAGTCCCCAGTTGTTTCACATTCAATTAGCTTAATCTAGTCATGAAAAGCATTTCTGCTCTCAACAGATGGTACTTCACGAAACAGACTTTGGATTGGCCAGTTGTCATTTTAGGGGCAAATTCATTCTCTTTTGCTCAGAAAAAGCCCTTTAAACCTACCTGAGGTCTGCTCCCCTAGCAACTCCACATGAGAGCCATGTAGGGGAAGAGGATCCTGGCCAAAGAAGCATGAAACCTCATTGTCTGTAGAAAGCCAGATGCTCATCCTTCCCCCCTGCTAATCTTCCTCGAGTTCTTTGAAGATCTATTTCATAACACAGCCACACCTCCTTCACAGCGGCTGGTGATCATGTTTGATATTTCAGTCCATGTGTCCATATGAGGGTTATAAACTTCAACAGAGTCCGAGGTCACTGGGGCAGCGAAATCATGACTAGAAGCTCGGCCTCCCGAGGCATAAAGAAGTCCATTCACAGCCACAACACACACACCAGCTCTGGGTATCTTCATCGGT